TGTGTTCTGGATAGTGATCTTTTCAGTTAGATGTACAGCCGTCAAGCAACCAAACACATGTACATATAATATTTGATGGCAGGAATGAGTGCACACCAAAGCCAACAAAAAAATATAAATGATCATCTTAGATGTTCGAGCAGCACTTGAAACTAAATTTGTCACCTATAGGCTCAACATCGTTGTCGATTCTCCTATGAAGTTGATTAAGCTCAATTAAATTGAACCAGTTCCTTGGGAGCTCTTGACTTGTGTTGTGAACAAGAACGATTGTGGTTTTCCTATTCAATTCAATCATGGCTACATGAGGGACAACCTTGCTTGATCTCTTGTTGTGGACGACACGAAATTTACTGATTTCGTATACATTATCGACACTTAGATGGTCCAAAAAAAATTGGATGTCTCGACCGTTCATGGTTCCGTGAACCGCATCTCCCTTTTAGAAGGAGAAATTTAAAATCAGACATAATACTAAATGAGTGGGATAACATTTAACGCATATAGTTTAAGAATCATGTAAACAGGCAGTATAGTATAGTTGTGGCTACTTAGATAGCATTTAAGATCATATGCAAGATAACAATGGAGATTACTCCAAGAATCAAATCGGTAGCAGTTGAAGCAACCTTGCAAAATCACATTTAGTTTGATTTGTATAGGTTAAAAAACAATGAAGAAAAATTAAGAAAAAGAAGAATTGATAGTTCATTCTTAGTTTTGTTTCTACAATTATAAAAGCTTCCTCAAACATAACAAAATATAATATCTGTAGTGAAATACAAAGATAGGAAAAGTGTGCATGGTTCACTGTGATTTTTTTTTTTAAGAACAAAATATAATATCCACACACCCCTTTTTATTTCTTCCACACTTTTTTGGTTTTCGGCCGTCGGAACGGATGAATTGAAAAAATCAACGGATAGAAATTAATAAGGGGTGTGTGAGAAGTAAAAAGGGGTGTGTCGATAGCACACCCCTTCATTTGTTGTCTATCTGAATAAGGTGATTTAACAAAGAAATGGTGGAGTCATGTTTACAAAAATAAACAAACGGACAAAATAATAACGCAAAGTTATACCTTCTTGTAAATGTTTTAAAACATCTTTATAAACTATGTTTTTTTTTTTGTATAACCGTAGGGCATGTCGCTATCGTGAGCAATAAGGATTTTGAGACCTTTTTTTTAGGTGACTCTAGATAGCGCAACATATAGTTGTCCATGTGAAAAAACAGTTTGCGACATATATAGGCCAACAATTTTTAAGGATTGTCCTTGGCTTTTGTTGATTGTCATCGCATAAAAAAAATTTAGAGGGAATTGTCACCTTCACAGAGTAAAAGGATATTTATGCTGAGATGATTCAGTAATTATCCTGGGGATATAAACTTTTTCACCGATGTTGCTTCCCGTTATGATTGTTGCTTGTATAATTATGCCGTTCAATTGCACAACCAATCTTGTTCCATTACACAATCCACCGCTTTGGTTTAAATTTCTAAGCAACATCACTAGGGTGCCAACTTTCAAATCTAACTTGTGGTGCAGTAAACCAGGTAAATCAAGTTAATTTAGAAATTCATTTGGATAAAGCACATCTAAATTTTCTAAATTTTCCGTTGAAGAAGACATCGAATCAAAACTGAGATAGGTACGATTTTCGCCAGGCACCATACCCAATATAAAAGCATTTATTTCAGTTGTTGTATCATTTCGTGGTGTGACAACAACTCTTTCTTTCAAATGTGGCACATCTTAGAAATTAGTTTTGAAATTCGTATACACAGCTGAAACCATGGCTTTGATGGGATCTTCATCAAAACGGATAAGGAATTGTTCTGGAATTTGAACCCAAGAGCTTTTTTCATTAGTTGAAGGTAAAGAGTTGGCAGCAGTACCGTTTCCAATGTCTAATATCAACTTTGTAAAATGAGCGAGTTCTTGTTTTTCTCTTTCGTCCAAACTAGTTTTTTGAAAGCCTCATGTTTTGCTTTAAATTTTTTTTTGTTAATATGGCCAAAGGTGTGAACTCGTTAATGAAGCTTCGACAATGTTAGCAACACTTCCGTTTGGAATAACAGGAAGAATTTTCCTAAATTCACCTCCAAAAAGAATCGACTTACCTCCAAACGGCAAATGGTCAAAACCTGGTTTTGACCCTTTAAGAACATCACGAATGGACCTATCTAGGGTTTCAAAACATCGTTTATGATTCATAGGGACTTCATCCCAAATAATGAGAGCAGCTTCAGTGATTAGTTTTACAAGACGAGTCCCTTTTTTAATCTCACAAACCGAGCAATATGTGATGTTGATAGGAATTTTAAATCTAGAGTGAGCTATTCTTCCATCAGGAAGCAAGAGGGAGGCAATTCCAGATGAAGCCACTGTTAAAACAATTTGATTTTGGGATCTAATTCTAGCCATGATGGTGGTTCACAAAAAAGTTTTGTTTGTTCCACCATGACCATGTACAAAAAATAGGCTAGATCTGTTGTTGTGAATTGTTTGTATGACACTGTCGTAAACATATTTTTGCTCTCTATTTAACTGCCTGAATAGGTTTGAGTGCTCATGTTTTAGTGAGTCAACATCATAATCTAACTCTTCCATCAAACTCCTATTTGTAACTCTATTTATCATCAACTTGTTTGGTTGTGGTAGGTGATGCTTTGACAAAGAACTATTCGAAGCAGCAAACAATTTTTCTATGAATTTCTAAGTTGATCTTGGTATTTAGAGACATCTTGTAGGCCAAAAGCATTGATCATGTTTTTCGAAATGTCATCGCACATCGTCTTCCAATGAGTTTCAAAAAGAGTTGATGGATCAGCAACATCACAAAAGAGAACCAATGTGACAAACAATTGCCTCAATTGAAAGTATGACGCAGTGACAACCACTTCTAACATAGCGCTATTCCATTCCTTATCATCCCCAATAAGCCAAGCGAGGTGTATGCAGCTTGGAATGTGGGTTCAATAATGCCTTTGATGGTCCTTAAATTAGCAAAACTAAAGCTGCCTTTTTGGTAATTAGCAGCAACCTCAAATAGTATAATTCACCCGCAGCAGGGTGAATATAGGCAACCCTTCCTAGAGATCTACCTCTTTTTCTATGGGTCCATTGTTTCTCATCATTTTTCCAAACATACTTGGTAGGAAACTCAACGTAAGCTAACATACATGCATCACGGTCTTAGACATTCGTTTGAAACCACTGTGTTCACATAGTGCTTTCAAGATTAGGGTGGTTAAGAACATGGTTTAGATCATCAGTCTCTCTAAAAAGAACATGTTGGTCAGATGGAAGGTCTACAGACAACCTCTCAACCGATGGTTATCTAAAAGGAATGTGAAACTGTAACAATCTCCACACTGCTTCGTATGGGCATAAGTATCTACTATTTAGATAAGCCATAACCTCATCAAACTCGTCATCTAGTTCGATCAACACCTTTAGTTATGTACTTAAAAAGATACTTAATGAGTGTTGATTGACAGCATGATTTAACGTTTATATATGCTTGATACTTCAATAATACCTAACGGTTGTAAGGGACAACAAATGTATTATCCAGCTTGATTCCATTTTTTAGAACAAACAGATTTTCTAGGCCCATTACATAGGTAATACCATTAGGCCTGTCGACACCTCAAACCCTATTATCCTTGAATCTATTTAAACTTCTTTTCTTATGTAAAGAGGACTATGAATGCAGTGGCGAAGCTACATAGGAGCGAGGAGGTGCGACCGCCCCTCCGCTCGTCGGAAAACAAGCCCAGGAGCGAGTCCTAAACCCCTCTGGTTCGGCCGGAATCTAGAAAACATGGTGTTGTTCTTGTTCATGCTGCTGCGCTGCTCCCCAGCCAGTGCGCAGGGGTTTTGTTTTTAAATTTTAAATCCAGGCCAAAACGACGTCGTTTTGGTCCTGATAAAAAAAACATAATTTTTAAACTAAACGGTGTCGTTTTACTTGTTATATGAATAGAAAAAATAATATTGCGGGGACCACTAGTTCGCATTCCCATCCAACCGGTTCCAGTTTCCCATTCATCCCCCCCACCACACCTTCTTTTCCCCAAACGATAAAATCCCTTCACTTTTCAAAAGTGTGCCCAATCCCAGGCTCCCAGCAAGCCATCCAACCCTATTTTGTTGGCCTTCCATTCCAGCTGCCACGCCAGACTCCATATACCACACCAGCATCCGTTTCCCAAATTTGAGGTATATTTTTTATTTTCTGAAATATATTTTATTTCAAACCCTAATTGATTATTTTTATTTAGAATATAGGATAATATATTAATATGGTTATTGATTATTCATAATTGATATGAATTCTCTGGGTATTGACAAATGAAATTATTGTTTAGGGTGAAAATTGAATTATTGATTATTGATTGATTAATTGAATTATTGAATAATGTATATGATTATTTATATTGGTTAGTTGAATTGAATTTTTGTTTATTGAATAATTTTGTATAATTTTTTACATTTGATTAATTGAATTGTTAGTTTGATTAGTTATTAGTCATATTAGTGTAGTCTACTCTAGGATTAAAAGTCTAAGATTTTTTTTCTTCCCATTATACAGTTACGTAATAGAACGATACTATAAGACCCTAGACATAGACGTCGAATGCTTGATTATCCACCTAATTATCGTGAAACAATTCGTAGACACTGTCTCCAAAATAAACCTTGCCAACCTAAATCCCATATCATCCGCATGACAAGAAAATTTAGCAACAATTTATGTTTTATCACTCGTTGGTTTGCCATTTTTTTTTACTTTGCACTCTTCTAAGTTCGCCCATCCCCTCGATAATTTCTGGCTTCGCCACTGTATGAATGAATATATTAATTTAATTTGATTTCTTTCCCATTTCTACATTTACTTTCTTGCAATTTCCCTTTTATCATGTCTAATCCTATCAGGTATATAGGCATGATTGCTTTCGCACCACTAGCATTGCCTTCATGTTCAATTAAATGAAAGTATCGATACTTATTGCATGGCATTACCTTTATTTATGGATTTGGTTTCTTATTTAGATAAGATTTACAATATCTCTCATATTGACGGTACAAATTAAAAGTAGTATAGCACAAAATAGGCCTCAAATTATTCAGTACGGATAATATGTAGACTTGGGGTGTAGTAGTGCTCATAACCGCTAAGGATATGTAGATCCTCACCCTCTTAAGATTGCTGATGTGCAATTTGGCGTGCCAGAACTGAGCCCTCGGGCAACTGTGTGACGTAACATCGATGCCCCATCGTGCTCAATGGGGCACTGCCTCCAGACCCAAAAATCACATTAATCAACCAGATGGCGAATTCTCCGATAAGAAAAGCGCCGGCGATGCCGGCTGTTATTCCCGCCATGAGTACTAACAAAGCATTGCCAGTGACCATGGATGCGAGGGCAACTCCAACAACTTCTCCTATCATCGCACCACCAATTGCTGCTGCAGTCGTTACAGCGTCACGCGCCGCGGTTTGAAGTGGATTGTCTGCTGAATATATGTCCCATACTAAAATTCCTGCAGCGAGAATAAGAACAGCTATGCCAGCAGCCCCAAAAATCTTTGAATACGCAGTTACATCAATATTTGCCCGTCCGGATTTAGATATGATTGTGCCGTACACCTACGTACATAGAAGCAAGTAAAGTATATAATATAGAAACAAGTTAAGAATATTGAAAATCACACATCGATAAGTTGACCAAACAAATTACAATATATAGTAGTAAATAATACTAATAGATGGTTTCATTTTTATGTACGTACGTACCCTGAGGTCTTTTCTTGTGGCTAATACAAAATTTCATGCTCATACAAAATTAATTAAGGTTTGAAGTTGGATTAATCCAAACGTCTGTAAAAAAATATGCATGTTTTCCAAACGTTTTGTCAAAAAATATGTGTTGTCTGTCCTCAACCTATAGATGTAGAATATAATTACTAGAAAGTAGAAAGCCCCTAATGCATAGCAATTACTCTACGAGTGAGGACTATTATCGACAAATTTAAAATAAATAAAAATTGAAGTAGAGTCATAAATTTGCAATAGGGTAATGTTAGAGAAACTAAATTTGTAGACAAAATGTTGTAAACTAAATGTTATGAAAGTTGATGATTGAACTATTACTTAACCGTTGATATATATGTTATTCATGTTGGTGACACATCATTTAATTTGGAATTTTTGTCTACAAATTTAGTTTCCTTAGTATTAATTATCCTAAAAATAGCAATACCAATCCTTACCTTTATCTTTTCAAAATCTTCAAGGTCTGCAAAACGACGTCTTCCGTATCCAAGCTCTGTCTGATACCTGCGTGAATGGTGCACCCATTAAAATTATTAAGAGACTAATGTTAGATCAAAGTAATTGTAGAATTTGTCAGAAAAAAGAAAGCAAAATTAGAAATTGTTTAAGCAATTTTTTTGGTCAAACAACTATTTGAACAAAATTAATTATTCTTGAATTTTGAAACTACACACATATGGGATTCCTGCTAAGAAGGGGTCCGTATGTTTTTGTGATTATATATATAGCTAATACACACACACACACAACATACGTACGCATACATACTTCTGCACTAGTTCTTCAAACGTCTTGCCGGTTTCCTTGATCCATCTGGAGTATTGGCGTGATGCGGGACTTTGACTACCCCTGGCGATCTCCAACGAGTCGTTCCTGAATTTGTGAGCTTCTTTTGCCAGCTCTTCCATATTGGTCACTTGATCATCCAGTTTACCACTGAGTTCATTGACATGCTTTTTAATCTTGTTTACGTAATCCATTCGCACATAAAAGTTTTTCACGAACTGGATTGCATGGTTGGCAGCGTTTTCAATATAACCGTAGATGTCGTGAGCAATAGAAGCCCGAACCTTGTCGCCGTGATCAAACCAAGGCTCCAACGTAGTAGCACTATCCAAAAGCCTTATCGCCGATTCATAACAAGCTTTGGAATCCTGGAGGTATTTCGCGAGTTTGGCTTCGTATTCGAACTGGATATTCTTAATGGCCTCAGCTTCTTGGTAGTAAAGTATACGAGCAAGCTTGCGCAGCTGCTCAGGACTGAGATAGGTAAAGTGATTAAATTCCGCCTGAGCCATATGACGGAGGAGGAGGAGTACAACAAAGGTGGTAGTAGGAGTACTAGTAGGTAGTGCAAGTCTTTTTAGGTAGGTGGATGCTTAGCTTAGTTCAAAGTGACAAGCTAGCCTATTTATAGTGAAGAAGTGGTCGGTACTTACTTTTTTGCTTCTCACAAGTACATTCTTGTTTAATGATGTTTGTTGTTTCTGTTTGATTTATTCAATATAACGTTCATATATAAAGATGAATGCGTACGTGAGACACTAAAAATGATGTATGTTTCATGCTTTCGTGGATAACAATTTTAAGGAGGCTATATTAGCTATATTTGGAGATCCCGAGTCTCTGCATTTACTTATCGTGCATGCTATATTTAGATCATTTTAATACTCTAACAATTATAATTAATTAATTAATTGTATTTCCTTATTTTTCTACATTGACATTGGCCAACGATAGATTATATATTAGATGAATAATGCTTGTGTTTCCTGCGCCCCCCCCCCCCACTTACGATTAATGAACAAACTTCACGATTGAAACCGTTCATTATCTATCATTATTTAAAAATCATATATGCAAAAAAAAAAAATGAATTTGGAGATCTTTAAGCAATTTATACGCAAAAAACAAATTGACGGTTCATCATGAGAATACTACTTGTCCCCAAGGTTATTGATTGGTTTAACAAATATAGATGACTAAACGACAATATCAACGAACTTTCTTTCTCTATAATCCACCTCAATGTCAATATCAACCGTTGATGTGAAACCAAAACGTTATTCACGTGATAGAGATTCCGTGAATGAGAGGGAAAATTCAAGATTGTGGAAGATTATTTCAGCTTTACTGGCGATTCGCGGCCAGCCTCGTTTTGCTTCTGTAAAATGGGTCAATTGAGGGAGATTTTCAAAGTTTGATGCACTGGTTCTTTCAGTTTTTGCCTCGTTCAAAACGTGTCATTGAGAAAGATTCTCAAAGTGTGATACACGAAGTGAGCTGTTTCCTTGTAGTGTGGACTTCTCTTCTTTCTTCCTGTTTAGCTGTTTCGGCCTTGTGGTTGTCTGTATCTCTACCCTTTGTGGCCTGTGGTCTTCCAGATCATCAATTTTCAAGTTTGATGCACTGGTTCTTTCAGTTTTTGTCTCGTTCAAAACGGGTCATTGAGAAAGATTCTCAAAGTGTGATACACGAAGTGAGCTGTTTCCTTGTGGTTTGGACTTGTCTTCTTTCTTCCTGTTTAGCAGTTTCGGCCTTTAGGTTGTCTGTATCTCTGCCCTTTGTGTGTTAAACGTAATGCATTTTCTCCTTGTAAGTTGTATCAGTTGTTAAGTACAGTTGTGTCTCTTGAGAAGAGCTATGTTTAGGAAGAGTTGTATCTCATTAGAAGTCAAGGGTTGTGTCTGCAACTCTTGGAACTAATCCAAGAGTTATGTCTTTAATGAAAAGGTCTGAATGTTATTATAAATAGCCAATAAGATGGCCTAGTGTTGTAATCAATTTGAAATCAATAAAAGCTTCAGTTTTCTGTTTAAACTCTTTTCCATATTCTCTCATATCCATCTTCCTCCAACATTGTGGCCTGTGGTCTTCCAGATCATCGATTTTCAAAGTTTGATGCACTGGTTCTTTCAGTTTTTGCCACGTTTAAAACTGGTCATTGAGAAAGATTCTTAAAGTGTGATGCAGGAAGTGAGCTGTTTCCATGTGGTTTGGACTCGTCTTCTTTCTTCTTGTTTTTAGCTGTTTCGGCCTTGTGGTTGTCTGTATATCTGCCCTTTGTGGCCTGTGGTCTTCCAGATCATCAACATCAAATCAAGCAACCCATGTGGGCTAATTCAAAATGAATTAAATTAAACTTTGAACGAAAATTAAGATTGTGACTGTTGATTAACGAGAAAAAGTGCAACCTTTGCCTTTAATATATAATTATTGACGTCACTTAGTATTACGGTTTAATATTATTTATCTTCACTTGTAAATGAAAAGCCTTAGGTTTGACTCTCACCAAATGTGTCTTTGAATTACATTAAGCGATTTATACGTATAAAACAAATCGACGGTTCATCATGAGAATGCTACTTGTTACCAAAACTATTGATTGGTTTAACACATATAGATGACTAAACAACAATATCAACGAACTTCTCAATGACAATATCAACAAACTTTCTTTCTCTAGAATCCGCCTCAATGTCAATATCAACTGTTGACGTGAAACCAAAACGTTGTTCACGTGATAGAGATTCCGTGAACAAGAAGGAAAATTCAAGATTGTGGAAGATTATTTCAGCTTTATTGGGGATTCGCGGCCGGCCTCGTTTGCTTCTGTAAAATGGGTCAATTGAGGGAGATTTCCAAAGTTTGATGCACTGGTTTTTTCAGTTTTAGCCTCGTTTAAAACAGGTCATTTGAGGGAGATTCTCTAAGTGTGATACACGATAAATTTTTCATTGTGACTGAAATACGTGTGGTACATCATGTGTTTTTATGTAAGTGGTTGAAAGTTTTAATTTTTAAGTTATTAACTTTTTAACATACATATCCCATCATTTGTATAGTAACACATGGTATATCACCTCGTGTGCCAGTCACATTGAAAAACTCTGGTGATACACAAAGTGAGCTGTTTCCACGTGGTTTGGACTTGTCTTCTCTCTTCTTGTTTAGGTATTTCGGTCTTGTGGTTGTCTGTATCTCTGCCCTATGTGGCCTGTGGTCTCTCCAATCAAGCAGCCCATGTAGGCTAATTCAAAATGAATTAAATTAAACTATTTGAACGAAAATTATATCTAATGAGTTCCTGAATAAGGTTGTGACTGTAAAATTAACGAGAAAAAGTGCAACTTTTGCCTTTAATATACAACTGTTGACACTACTTAATTAGTACTACAATTTAGTGGTATTCCTCTTCACTTGTACAAGTGAGAGACCTTAGGTTTGACTCTTACTAAAGGCGACTTTGAATCACATTATTGCTAACCTATTGTGAGGTTTAGCCCACTCTCTCATCCCTTAGTGTAGATAATATTGTTTGTTAAAAAAATACAATTGTTGACGCTACTTAATACTACGGTCTATTGGTATTCCTCTTCATTTGTAAATAAGAGGTCTTAGGTTCGATTCTCGCCAAAGGCGAATTTCAACCACATTTGCTAGCCCATTGTGATGTTTAACTCACCCTCCCGCCCCCTTAGACCATCTCCAACTCTTGGGTTAAAACCTAAAATTTTTAACTCAGAAACTGTTTTTCTCCTCCAACCCTTTTGGGTTAAATTTTTAGCCCGAGATTATTAAAGAATGAATTTAGGATAATTTTTTTAGGCTATCCTAATCTAATTTTATGAACATTTTAACCTAAAAATATTTAGATTCTAATAAATATTGAAAATCAATAAACTGACACCATGAAACTCGTGAAACACTATATATGAAAGAAAATGAAACACATGAAAGAAATTTTTTTATTATTATTTTAGCCATTGGATTTAAATTTGGACCGTTAGATTTTTTATTTTTTATCGTTAGATTTGATCATATTAAATCTTAGCCGTTGGATTCAATGAATTTATAAATATAAAGCTAAAAAAAATACACATACATGGTGGGACAGCCCCACTAACCGAAGGGGTTTCTCTCCAAAGAAAGAGAACTATTTTGAAGAGTCACTAATATATATATAGTCATTAATAAATTAATTAACTGCGTCATACAAGTTCTTGTGAGTCATATCATCATAACTTAGAAATTAAGTAAGTCTTTGAGAGAGTTTAGAACAATGGTGGTTCGCTAGGGCCTTATGATTACTATTGTAAGGACGAGGTCATTGTATTTAGGAAACAAGCGCAAAATCAACCATGAGCACCATAGTGAGATGCATAAATTGTCTTAAGGAGAGAGGACCAAGTTCTTGACTCAACCGCAATTTTCTGTTTTTCTAACCATATTATGTGCATTGGACATTGTATATGGTTAGAGTTCGTAATTCAATTGGTATATACTTGCAAGAATTATTTCTTGATTTTGTTTGTGATTAAGATATAACAATTACACCATATTTTTCAACAGTTATATACATCTCTGCCAAACTGGAGGGTCCGCAACCTTTCATGAGTTTCTTATCCCCATCCCTCAAGAGTATCTCCAATATTGGAGTAGGCAAATGTGTATTCAATCCATTTTGATGAGTCACATATAGAGGCATAAACAAATCGGGCCCCACACCTCTCTCTACAATAAAGTAATCCATGTAAAGGAAAACAACAAAAATAAAAGATACAAATAGATGTTAAAGATGAAACAAAATAAAAAAATGTGCCTACTTAGTTTTTTTATTATTCCATTAAAGTGACACACTCTTGGTATGAGGTAATTGAATAAGCAATTTACCGTGTCAGCCATTCTAGTACAATATAATTTTATCCATTTCATCTTCTTACGCCTTTAAAGAAAATAAACTCACGGAACTCACGTAGGAGCAGAAATCTGTACTCTTGGAGAAGGGCCTCGCTGTCACAATTGGTACAGACATATAACTTTGAAAATATTGTTCACGTGATAATGTGATTCCATGCATGCGGCATGCATCCCTCACGTTTTTTATTTTTATTTTTATTTTTAATAATAGTGATTCCAAAGCTAGCTGCATCATGAGAGCGTAACCGTCTTTTCTTTTTCTTTTCTTAAGGGACATTTCAGACTTTTCCTTTTGGTCGACATCCCTGCTCTGCTCATGGGATTATAAATACGCATTACCTCTGATAGAAATGCTTTAGAGGAAAATCAAGAGAGAGAGAGAGAGAGAGAGAATTAATCAAGTTAAGATGGCGTATAACGTTTTTGGCAACCCCATAACGGATGAAACTTTGAAGGGGATGCCAGAGTATGCCGACAAGCAAATAGGAAGATTAGACAGGGCATACGTGGCATTGAATATGAAAAATGCCGCGGAGAAGGACTTCAACGCTCGAACACATGTGGAGAAACTGAAGGAGCAGTATGGCGACGGAGTCTCCACACTCTGCCTTGTTTACAATGCAACTGGGGAGACCATAAGATATGCTTATAAGAAAGATTGGTATGGGCACATCGGGAACGCACCATACCCACCACTGATTGCAAATGGTCAGTGGGGTGCGTTTCTGCACGTCAAAACTGCCGGAGAGTCTTCTGGATCCAATGCTGCTGTTGTGTACCGAGGCCTAAATATTGTTAACGAGGAATGCGACTGGATGTTGTCTTGGAGCAACCCATGGGACAGGACTAAATCGGACAACACGGTGAGTATTAATGACTCTTTTTTTATATATTAACGATATTATATTATTTAGTATTTACACTAACGACTAAGAAAAATTAAACACATTTGACATTTCTTAAATACTTGCGATATGCACGTAAGTGCAGGTCATTACAGAAATTCGAGGCCTTAATCACTTTGAATCTTATTGGAGCTTAATCTATGGTTACTTGGAGAAAGGTCAAGCGTACAGCAAGGACAGATGGAATGGATGCGTGTCAATCATGTCAACTGGCAGTGACACTTCCCCAATTGTTGAAGCAATACTCACTCTAGAAAATGTTTAAGCTTGTTTATGCATTTGTAATACTTTATTTTCTCATATGTGCGGGCCTTTCAATTAACCTGGGATGCATAATAAAATGGTGTCCACCAAATACTATCCCATGTTAATTCTCTCCACCTTCTCTCTTGCCGTCATCTCCCCTCTTCGGTAAAGTTGCGAACAAAAAAAGAACTTTCACATGGATGCTGTGTGGTTTCTTATGAATATTTTTTGGGCAACATGAGGATTCTTACGATGGATGACTGAAATAGGTGCTTTAGATTTATCCTCTTACAATGGTTAATTTCTAAATATAAACTCCCGTATATTAAAATATCTAAATAAAGCTCAATTTTTAAAATTGATGCCATGTAGGATAAAAGACGTCCATACATTTTAATTTATTTCCAAAACCATCATCCCTATATGGCTATTGCGTTTTTTTTTAGACATTTAATTTATTATTTGTGTTTGTCAAACAACATTCAGTTTGTTTGAGTTCTTTTCTCTTTGCTTTTAAGTGAAATCCCCCAATCCAAATCTTAATTTAGTCTAAATTCCCCAATTCGAGAAACAAAGAAAAATAAAGAAGAAATGTTTGTTTCACTACAAAATCCTAGAAAAAAGAAGTAAATTTGCTATGACGTCGGGAAAAAAACCTAATGGATAAATTACACAAAATTACCTTACTTAATTATGGGTCGAACCACAATTTCATACCCCAACTTATAAATTTGTTGTAATGTCAAACATCTATTAGATTTTCTGTCAATTTGGCCGTTAATGATGACGTGACAATAGCGGGACCCATTATTTCCCTTATTGGAATAAAAAATAAATTTTTATTAATAAATTATTAATTTCTTATTAACAATTATTAATAATTTATTAATCTTTTTATTAATAATTCAACAATTATTAATAAATTATTAATTTTTATTTAACAATGTATACTTTTTGTCTCCTTTTTCTCAAGGCTCTCACCTTCTCCCTCACTTTCTCTATCTACTCTAACTTGCAGAGAAACAATGGCAGCCATGGTTGTTGTGGCTACTCTTCTCTTAATTAACGAACTTCTTTTTGGCTGCTATTCACATCTCTTCAAATCCAGCTATTCACATCTCTTCAAATCCAGATACCGAACCTCTCTTATCATTCAACCAAGTCTCTCGACTCATCCTCGAGAACTGTTAAACAAGAGTCCAATAGAGTATAGAACTATTTTTTCTCTGTTATTATCAAATCATTGTTGATACGTATTATCGTATACTTCAGATATAAATGGGAACCTCTATTCCAATAGGACTCTTTGTAATCTTAATCACATGTAACTATCTATATGGCAGCAAGCGTGAATGAAATTAAACGCTTCCAGCATATTATTTCCACTTAGTTTAACAATTCTACAAGAACCTCGACCTCTGCAGCCTTGCCGTCGATCCACTAGGATTCGTCTTCCCAGATCGGCCTTGCCACAGTCACCGCCCCCAACGCTCCCATCCCAAAACCATCACCTCCTTCTTGCCCTCCTCCTCACTCTACTCGCACTCCAAACCCTCACCCACACCAAAACCTCCCGCCCCCGCCGCCACAACCTTCACCAAGTCGTCTGTCAGTCCAATGGGTTCGAGCGGAGCACATCAGGCTAGAGATGGTTTTCAAAAAATTGAAAACCGAAAAAAAGTGGACCGAACATCTAACCGAAAAAGGAAAAACAGAATTGAACCGAACTTTATTGGTTCAGTTTCGGTTTTGGAGGTTCGAAAACCGAACCAAACCAAATCCTTTTACACTTTATGAATGTATATCAATGATGTTTCTTTTGTGAAACTTTGTTACAAGTTTGAAACTAAGCAAGGGTTTTTTCAAGGAGCATATTTGGTTCAATTAGGGAGGATATTTCATTGGTTATAGAAAAAAGTTTTGGAAGGCTTCGAACTTGGAAGAGTTCTCTATTTGTTTGCTTTTAGAATGAATACGATGTTCATTTTTATTTGGAATTGAGGTTGTTAATAGAATATGTTTGGTTTATATAATATACATACAACTTCCTTTCTAAATTTCATATTAAAAAAAGATCAAGTATCATAAATAAAAAATATAAAAAAAAAAACGACACGAACGGAACCAAACCAAATCGAAAAAAAAAAAATCGAACCGAAAGAAACCAAAAGAAAATCAAACGGAACCGAAGTTTTGGTTCGGTTTTGATTTTGGCCAAAAACCGAATTGAATGAAACCGAACACCCCTACATTAGGCTCCAGATCTGGTCTGGCCTTCATAAAAAACGGGTCTGAGCATACCATCAAGCTCCAGATTTCCTGAACACAACGCTACAGCCTACAGACAGGGTTGATTCAAAGCAGTCGGGTCTGGGCTTCGTAAAAAAGGGGTTCGAGCAGTGCAGGTAGGTCGACGACATGGGAGTGCCAACGAATGCAGATGCAGGTTTGTGGTTGGTTGCAGGCGAGATGCAGGTGCGGCGAAGTTGTAAGAGAGATGCAGGTACGGCGAAGTTTTAGCCTCGTTTAAAACGGGTCATTGAGGGAGATTCTCAAAGTGTGATACACGAAGTGAGCTGTTTCCATGTGGTTTGGCCTCGTCTTCTTTCTTTTTGTTTTTAGCTGTTTCGGCCTTGTGGTTGTCTGTATATCTGCCCTTTGTGGCCTGTGGTCTTCCAGATCATCAAATCAAGCATCCCATGTGGGCCAATTCAAAATGAATTAAATTAAACTATTTGAATAAGGACAGTTTTAACGAAAAGTTCGAGGTACTGTTCACTTTAACAAAAAAATCACATTTTTATCAAACCTGGTACTATTTACTTTACTCTTTATTTTGTCCTTATCGTTAAAACTCAAAGTTTTCAAACCCTTTTCATTAGTTTTCCTTTGAATAAAAGATAAAACAGATGTTAAAGATCAAATAAAATAAAAAATGTGCCTACCCTTATTCCGTTAAAGTGATGCACTCTTGGTATATAAGGTAATTGAATAAGTAATTTACCGTGTCAGTCATTCTCTTGGTATGATATCCATACATCATTTTTTACTTCTCACACACCTTTCTAATTTTCGACAGTCAAATCGGATGAATTGAAAAAGATCAATGAACATAAATTAACAAGGAGTGTGTAAGAAGTAAAAAAATGAGTGTGGATAACACATCCCTACAATTTTATCCATTTTATTTTCTTACGCCATTGAAGAAAATAAACTCACGGAACTCACGTAGGAGGAGACATCTGTATTTTTGGAGAAGGGCCTCACTGTCACAATTGGTACAGACATATAACTTTGAAAATATTGTTCACGTGATAATGTGATTCCATGCATGCTGCATGCATCCCTCACGTTTTTTTATTTTTATTTTTTAATAATAGTGATTCCAAAGCTAGCTGCATCATGAGAGCGTGACCGTTTTTTCTTTTTCTTTTCTCAAGGGACATTTCAGACTTTTCCTTTTGGTCGACATCCCTTCTCTGCTCATGGGATTATAAATACGCATTACCTCTGATAGAAATGCTTTAGAGGAAAATCAAGAGAGACAGAGAGAGAATTAATCAAGTTCAGTGTAAAGATGGCGTATAACGTTTTTGGTAACCCCATCACGGATGAAACTTTGAAGGGGATGCCAGAGTATGCCGACAAGCAAATAGGAAGATTAGCCAAGGCATATGTGGCGTTGAATGTGAAAAATGCCGCGGAGAAGGGCTTCAAGGCTCGAACACATGTGGAGAAACTGAAGGAGCAGTATGGCGACGGAGTCTCCACACTCTGCCTTGTTTACAATGCAACTGGGCACACCATAAGATATGTTTATAAGAAAGATTGGTATGGGCACATCGGGAAGGCACCATACCCACCACTGATTGCAAATGGTCAGTGGGGTGCGTTTCTGCACGTCAAAACTGCTGGAGAGTCTTCTGGATCCAATGCTGCTGTTGTATACCGAGGCCTAAATATTGTTAACGAGGAATGCGACTGGATGTTGTCTTGGAGCAACCCCTGGGACAGGACTAAATCGGACAACACGGTGAGTATTAATGACTCTTTTTTAATTATTGTTATTATATTATTTACACTAACGACTAAGGAAAATTAAACACATTTGACATCTCTTAAATACTTGCGATATGTACGTAATTGCAGGTCTATACAGAGGTTCGCAAAGCTGGCCACTTTGATACTGCTTGGGACGAAATCTATAAAAACTTGGACAATGTTCAAGAGAACATAAAGCACGCATCGAATGGATGCGTGTCAATCATGTCAACTGGCAGTGGCACTTCCCCAATTGTTGAAGCAATACTCACTTTAGACCTTCCCGTAGAGATGGTCAATAACGTTTTTGGCAACCCCATCACCGATGAAACTTTGAAGGGGATGCCGGAGTATGACGGCAAGGAAATAACAAGATTAGACAGGGCACGCGTGGCATTTAATATGAAATATGTCGGGGAGAAGAGCCTCGACGCTCGAACATATGTGGAGAATCTGAAGAGGGAGTATGGCCTCGGAATCTCCACACTCTGCCTTGTTTACAACGCAACTGGGTACATGATAAAATTTCATGCTAGGAACGATTGGCATGGGCACATCGGAAAGGCACCATACCCAGATGTGATTTTAAATGGTCAGTGGGGTGCGTTTCTGCACGTCCAAACTGCCGGAGAGTCTTCTGGATCTAATGCTGCTGTTGTGTACCGAGGCCTAAATAATGTTAGCGATGAATGCGACTGGATGTTGTCTTGGAGAAACAGGACTGGCACTGACACCACGGTGAGTATTAATGACTCTTTTTTGATATATTAACGGTATTATATTATTGGATAAAGTACAAAAAAACTATCTCAACTATTAGTCTCATAACACTTTCATATCTCATCTTTTAAAATTGATAAAGTATGACATTGACACAAATTCGTAAGATAAGGTATGACATTGTCAATTTTAAAAGATGAGGTATGAAAGTGTCGTGACACCAATAGTTGAGGTAGTTTTTTGTACTTTACCCTATATTATTTAATGTAAATATGACTTTAACTCCTCAAACTCAATTTATTTCATATAAAATCTGACATAACTTTTTTACTCAATGACTACTCCACATATGCAAATTCATTAAGAGTGTTACTAGACTCGCCCCAATATCTTATCTTTCCACCCACATTATAATCTCACCCACCTCAAAAAGATGAAAAAGTTAAAATGTTATTTTTCCACTCACTATTATTCTTAAAATAACCTTTAATATATATGCTATAATATATCTCTTCCTCCTCTACTTGCACTTGCAAAAAACTGAAATCAAATGATTAAACACCTTCGAAAACGAGTGTGAAATTTGAGAGAGAGAGGACATGAACAAAAATGAAATGGTGGTGTTATATATGAAGGAAGAAAGAAGTGACAGAGAGGTAAAGAGAGGTCCAGGGAGAGAAAATAAAGGGGTGGGAAGAAAAGGACCACTAGCGTGATGTGGATTCTCTCACTCGTCTTGTCTTTTTTGTTTCAGTTTTTTTTTTTCAAGTATGAAAATGGAGCATGAGAACAAAATTTTGAGAATATGCTCTGTTGGGTTCTTTCCAATCAAAGTTGGTTCAATTGTCAAATTTACATTCTTCATAGTTGAGGACGCATTTTTCAAGATAATCTGACCCAACATCTCTCAACGCAACTCAAGGGATGATGAAGAGAGAAATTTTTCTTTTTTCTTTTTTGTGCTAGTCCTTGATGTCATTTTATAAAAGGGTAAAATTGATACTAAATTTTTTATTAAAAAATGGGGTGAATTAATAAGACAGTGAGGTGGGTTTATCACCACTCTTCATTAATTATGTTTGACTTTACACATTTTAAAATTTTCGAATGTCTAAAATAACCCTTTTTGCATGTTTAATGTGCACAATTAAAAATATGCAGATTTTAAGGAGGATTAATGATTTTACAAAAATTTAAAAAATTTAAAAAGGCATTAATATTCTAAATGCATTGCATGTTATATGAGAATTCAGGATTTCCACGTTTTGTAATTAATTTGGTTGATTCATGTTTCTCTCATTCCATAAAATTTGCTTCTAATTTGATATAGGAATTAATTTGGAAAGTTTTCTTAAATATATTTTTTTAAGTGAAATAGTCTATCTTTTAAAATATTTATCAATAAATAATGTTACCTATAATTTTTTTCTTTTGCCAACTATAAATTTTTACCATAATTTGTCTATCGTATCAAATTTCTGGAGTAATAATGTACTTATTATTAAGTTTTACAACACTTATGTATCTAAACAAATAATGTACTTACTGTTTAGTTTTAGCAAAAATAATTTACCTACTGTGTATAATTGGATGTACCTATTGTTTAATTTTATAAAAAAATTAATGTATGTACAAAAATAATTTATCTATTATTCAAATTTTAAGTTTAAAATTTATCTGTTCTTATTTAACAATAATGTATCCACAATTTATTTTTGTATGAATATAATTTACCTACTTTTTAATTTTATATGAAACTAATTTACCTACTGTGACAATAATCTATCTACAATTTTACATAAAAGATTTACCTTTTTTTTTACAACAATAGTGTATCTACAATTTTGTTTTTGTATGAATATAATTTACCTACAATTTAACTTTTCAAAAAATGCATCTTCTATTTTATGTTTTACTATTATATATATGTTTCTGTGTTCGCAAAATAATTTATCTAAAGTTATATAGTTAAGAGATATGGTAATGAATTATATTAGTTCATTATTAGACTGATAAATAATGGTTGTATGAGAACAGTTATAGAAAGTTGTGGCACAAATTGTAAATAATTTATATTAATAGGTTACTTATTTTCTTATGTGGCAATTTATTTAAATTTTGGGTTTTTATTAGATGTTTATTTATAAATAGGTTTTTATCTGAGTATATGAGTTGTATAGACCTATATCTAAACAATCCTAACAATAATATATATTATGTACAGTAACGATTAAGGGAAGCTAAACACATTTGATATCTCTTAAATACTTGCAATATGAACATAATTGCAGGTCCATACAGAAGTTCGCAGAGCTGGCGACTTCGATGCTGCTTGGGACGAAATCTCTACACACTTCGGAATGGCGTCCACAACGCACATATCGAATGGATGGGTGTCAATCATGTCAATCATGTCAATCATTTCAACTGGCAATGGCCCTTCCCCAATTGTTGAAGCAATACTCACTTTAGAAAATGTTTAACTTTGTTTTGTGTGGATTGTCTGCCCTCCCATTTTCATACTTTTTCCATTCTCTTTTATTTTGTGTGATCACGGTTAAGTCACGTCAATATTTTATATTCTTATTATTTTATATTTTATTATTTTTATAAAAAAATTAATATAAAATATTGACGTATCTTAACCTTGACCACACAAACCAAAAAGGATGAGAAGAGTATAGAAATGGGAGCGCAGACAATCAACCTCCTTTTGCATTTGTAATACTTTATTTTCTCGTATGTGCGGGGCCCTTCAATTAATCTGGGATGCATAACAAAAAGGTGTCAACCAAATACTATCCCATGTTAATTCTATTATTACAATAAAAGGCCTGTAGTTTGAATTTGAATCTACTAAGCTTAATATTGTACTATTTCACAATAACGGAATGGATTCCAAGTTTCTATATTTACCATTTGTGCATTTACGTACATTTAGACAAATTTTGATCATTTGGTTAATCTAACGTAATTTAATCCATCCACATTGGATTTTGTTTGAGATCACCTTCACACCATATCACTCTGTGCCTCGCTGCCATTCTCCCCACCCTTCTCTCTTGCCGTCTTCTCCCCTCTTCTCTAATGCAATGGGACAGAACGCGTCCGTCCTATGTTTGGTGCGCTAAATTATGTGGAAAGCGCTGTCTCACAAAACGAAAATGGGTTAAATTTTCATTCCGTCTTTCCCCCCCCCCCTAGAACAAGTCGTTCCATCCCATGGAACACAAAAATAATAAAATTTTAAGACAAAAATACCCCTTAGCTTTTTCAATATTTACACCATCTAAATCATACAACAAACACTAACTATCATCTTCTCTTCTCTGCCGCTGTGAACTTCTTTAGCTTTGTATCTCCCCTTCGCAACCTTCCTCCTCATCCTCTTCCATGTAGCCTCTCTGTGAACTTCAACTTTGCGTCTCCGTTCCAGGTTCAATCTGATTGTGATTGTGTAGCCTCTCGGTCTCTCTTTCTTTGTATTTTGTAGTGCTTCGATCTGCCCAATACTGATCTGCAACCAAAGATCCGCCTCTGTTTATCTGCTTCCACAGAGGTATCTCTCTATCTGGATTCATTTTTTCAGTGTTCATGTTTCGATTTTTATGTGCTGAAATCTATAAATCTAATGTCTTTGGGGGTTTTGTTGGATTGGATTGGGTTACATGTTTTGGATTTTCCTCTATTGGATTGGGTTCTATGTTATTTTTTTAAACCTAGTACATTTTTGTTGCCCCAAAATCTTATGTTGTGATGTTTCGTTTTTGAAAAGAGTCATAGAAATGGCAGAAGAATGCTCTTTCAAGCATGAATATCCTCAGGGCTTATTTGTTTGGTAATTTGCTTTATATTTAGTTGTGTTACTCTTGCGTTTCAAATGAACTGGAGATCTCAAGTTCCTGCCGGGGAACGGGGAACCTCACCCTCCATGTGTTTCTTGGAAATTTCTTATAAGTCGCAACGTACAGTTTTGAACTTCATTGCTGCTCAAAATATAGTCATTTTATATCTAGTTTTCTGTACATTGACCTTCTAAATGTTAAACAAAAAACACAGTGACTATTTTAATTGAACACAGAATCTTAGTGCTCGATTTTGATTCCCCTCACCAATATATATGATTGTTGAGGATAATTGCTTGACTTAGAAGTTTTTGATTTCTAGTACGGGGGAAAAAGCTAGAGTTTCATGGGGCTGTTTGACATTGGCACTTTTTTGAAACATTTGGTTTGTGTGTAGTATAAGAATTTTGAGGATTATAAAGGAATGGGAGTAGATGAACTATAGGGTAGAGTTAGATACTAGGCATCAGTTTCGAATGAGTTCATGGATTATTCTCTTTCTTGTCTTAGAAATTTCATAGTTACACATTTATTATCATCTTACATGTCTTCACTGTCTTCTAATTCTATACAGTATTTAGGATATATGGTATGCTGACTATAATACACGGATTTCCCAGGAAGGAAATGCCCATCCTTTGCTCTATTTCATATCAGCGTCTCAAATACTTGATATTTTCATTCTTAGTTTGGAGCTTTGTTCTTGAATATGGACACAGACAAATGCATCTTTCGAAATTTCACCTTTTCATTGCAGCATCTCTTTGTTTGCATTAATTTTTAATGACTTTGGTTTTTGCAAGACTGAACTGCATTTAGGTCATATAGCATTAGTCAAATCCTCAGATGGTAACACTCTCAGATTTTCAGTGCATGACAAAGTTGATGCTCCACTTTAAGAATTGCAACTAGAATATGATGCTCCTCTTTGTTTTACCATTTAATCATACGCTTGTAATTGAATCCTGCGTATGTTGATGCTCCACTTTAAGAATTGCAATTAGAATATGATGCTCCACTTTGTTTTACCATTTAATCATACGCTTGTAATTGAATCTTGCGTATGTTGATGCTCCACTTTGTTTTACCATTTAATCATATGCTTGTAATTGAATCCTGCGTATGTTGATGCTCCACTCATTCATGTGTTGTTTTTTTGCATGTGAAGGTATGGATGAATATGAGACTCAATCCGTGAAGGTTGGGATAAAGCAGTTACTGAAATGAAGAATTTAGGTGAAAGTTTTACTTTCGGAGAAGCGAAAGCCAGGTTACCTTCTGAGCTTCAGGCCATGGGTCTATGTGACGACTCGTCCCTAATTTTCCTATGTAATTTCTCCCCAAGTATGTGTATTGACGATTATGCCCTTATTGGCAAGTGATGTGGATTTATTCTTATCGCTTTCCTTTTTATTTCTCGATATCGCATTTAAATTGTACACCCTAGTACGAGTAGGCGTAGATTTTAAAGTGTAAAAATATCTACTTTGGATAGATTTCGATTTCCTTTTACTGTAGGAAATCTAAAAACCTATCCATTGGATCCCCTTTTTATCCTACCCGTGCACCCTTCCATTATTTCACTCCCTCACCTATCCCATCTCTTCTTCATTTTCTGTCCCCCAATCAGAAAAAGGAAAAAGAAATGAACTATCTCTCTCTCCCTCGCCGAACCCTTCTTCCTCTATGCAACCATCACAAAAACACACCAAAACTCACAAACGTGACAAACCAACTACACCATTGTGATCATCTCAATCCCACGATCATAACCATGTCCTTGAAATTTGGTGTGGACGAGTTTTGACTCACCAACTCAGAAGGTCGACTCGGCAAGTTCGACATATCAATTTTCAAGCCATTTATGGCTTAGGTAAGCTTTGAGAAACCCTTAAAACCTTCATTTCACTTCTATGGGTTGTTATTGATCTCTTGTTTGTGTCTTGGACGTATGGTTTTACCCAAAAAACTCGAAAAGAAGGAGAACCTGCAATTTTTCAGTTAAGGGGTCGTGACCATTTGGTCATTTTTAACCCATTTTTCTGGTCAACCTCGACCACATCTGGACTCCTGCTAGGTACAAACTTGTTCTCTACATTCCTAACTTCAAAATGGCTTTTGAATCACTGAGTTTGGTTAAGTAACGAGTTAGAAATCACCTCTGGAAGTTAGGAAGAAAATTTCAGCCGTGGTCATTTGGCCACTTTCAGGCCAAATTTCTGAATAACACGGACTATATTCGAACTTTCTGTGAATTGAGATCGGTACATCACATTCCTAGCTTTAATTTGGCTTTTGTAGAAGTGAACTTGGTTGAGAATCGAGCTCGTTAGGAGCTCTGGAAGTTGGCCAAAAATTTTGCAAAACTGCAGATTTTAGCGAGGAAGGCGAGTACAGTGTACTCGCGGGGCGTGTAGGCGCGCGTGGCCAGCTTGTGCAGCCTCTCCGGCCGGCGCGTGGTTGACACGTGTGTGTTCGTGTCGTCGAGTAGATCAATTTCATATATTTAAACCCTAGGTTTGAGCAAACTATGGGGGTTTTATTTAGGTTTTCGTTATGTGCTTTAATTAATGTTATTTTAGTTATTTCACATATAGGGGAAACTTATCCCGAGGATTTTCGAGGCCAAGCTAGGCTCGAGGGCTACGACCCAGCAACGTACTTGTGAGTGGGCAGTTGTTTTATACCTATACATATTTATAGTTTCCATAAATGCGTCTTTATTTCATTTTACGCCTATATTGCCTAGTATCATTATTGTGATATGAATTGTGATAAATGCTGCTATATGATTGTGATATTACTGTCTTGGCATTCATACATATTTGTACATGCTCATTTTTCTGCACCCGATGTTAGTACTCGCCCTAGGGCCAGGGCCAGTCCTTCACATGTATGTTCACATCCGCACCATTCGCTCGCCTTGGATCCAAGTTTAGGTGCCAGTCCTGTCAGGTATATTGCATTAGGCAATCCGACTTGTATGTGATGTGCTTTTGCACCAGTCTTCACGTGATCGTAGTACTATAGCATATTGATTACACCCAGTCATGTTCGTGTCAGAATCTATCTGTTCAAACTTATGTGTCAGCTTAGATGGATGAACACTTAGTTATACTTGATTATCACATGATTATTACTGTGGCATTCGATACATCATTACTTGGCATATTTCTGATTATTATACTGCTTTAATATTATCGAATTATCGTTTATATACTTGAAAAGTATGTTTTGAGGAAACTATACTTGTTTTACGCACTACTACAAAATTATCTATAACTAGCGGTTTAAAAACAGACAAAAAAACGTAAATTACTGTTGTATTTTAAGCAAAATCCGACAAAAAATGGATGCAATGGCGGATATAATAAGCGACAAATTTGCCAGCGTCAGGAAATGAATTTTCCGACAGAAAATACTATAAAACCGATAGAAATCCTGTCGGTTATATTCGACAGGATATATATTTATAATAATTAAATAATGAAATTTCTGTCTGATAAAACTGACAGAAAGTACAAAAACCGCCAGAAATTCTGTCGGCTATAACCGACAGAGAGTTTATTAATAAGAATAAATAAAAGCAATCTTGTCGGCTAAAACCGACAGAAAATATATTAATAATAAAAAAAATATTTCTGCATTAACTCTAAAACATTGTAAAAATGGCTGCCACACCCACGTTCTTTCATCGTCACCATCCTCACACTCACAGCTCTAATTTCAGCAACCCAACAACAACAACAGCACAAACATGCAAGCTCACCATTAAACCACTCCATGCTTGCATCACTGATCTAACTCTAAACCCAGCAAAACCATGCAAACCCGACAAACCCTTTATGGGTTATCTCGGTATGTACCTCATCTGCTTCTCCTCCTGCTCTTATGCTCCACCTCCGCATCTGGGTTGCAGCATCAGCACCATAATGTTGTGCTAACCGTTCTGAGCGACGACATCCGCTCGTAGCACCACCACCAACAGCATCCAACCCACTGAAATAAACAACACAAAATTCTTCAAGTCAGAGAGAGAGAGAGACAGAAGGGGGAGAGAGAGACA